ATAGGTGAAGGAAAAAGATGAATTTTCAAAAATGGTGGCGATAATTTTAAAATAAAGAAATAAATGGCGGTGATAAATGAAAGAAGAAAAATAAGAGAACTAGAAAGAAGTGACTTTGGACACAAAATGGAAGAGAAGAAAAGAGAACAGAATGTCGTAAATGGAAAGATTTTAGAGGGAAACTAGGAGGGAATAAGAAATATAAAAGAGGACGCAGGGAAGAAAATCAAATTTTCAAAAGAAAAAGAAAAGAAAATTCGGGAAAAATTATGAAAAAGAAAACGATTGAAAAAAAAATTTGGAAAAACAGCGACAAAACATAAGCGGATCAAAAAATTAAAAGGGAAATAAAATCAAACACAAATCAAGAAAAATAATTCATAAAAAGTAGGGAAAAAGTACAGTTAAAAAGAAATCTTGTACGAGAAATAAAAAAAGAAATGAACGAAAGAAAAGAAGGAAAGAGAAATAAAGAAATAAAGAAATTATGAAACAAGGTCAAAAAGAAAGAGAAAGAAAGAAAGGCAAAATATTAAATAATGAACAAATACATTCAAAAATGAAGATTAAAAGAAATAATCCATAAAGAAAGAAAAACGAATGGAACAAACGAAAAAATAAAAAAATTGACGAGTCTAAGATGGTGTAAAATTAGAATATACAAACGTGAAAAATAAAGAGAAAAGACGGAAATTAAGGAAAAAAAATCAGAATGCACAAAAAAGAAAGAAAGAAAATGTGAAAGTCAGAAAGAATGAGAAAGAAAGAAAGGCAAAGTATTAAATAATAAACAACAAATATATACGCAAAGAAAGAAAGAAAGAAAGAAAGAAAGAAAGAAAGAAAGAAAGAATAAAAACTAAAAATCTCGAAGAAAAATGAATCAAATAAAAAATAATACTATCAAGAAAAAGAAAAAAGTGAGGAAAAATAAAAAAAAATAATAAAAGGGTCCAAGTGTCACAAGAAAATACGAAAATAAAAAAAAAGAAAAAAACGAATGAAATTTATAAAAAAAAATTCCCAAAGAAAACTATTCATAAAAAAATTCAAAAAAAGAAAGAAAAGAAAGAAGAAAAAAAAAAAAAAGAAAAAAAAAAGAAAGAAAGATAGAAAAAAAAGATAAATGGGTCAAGTGTCAAATAAATACGAAAATAAAAAAAATTTAAAAAATTTCATAACGACAAAATTTATAAAGAAAGAAAGAAAAAGTACAAAGAAAGAAAAGAAATTCATAAAGAAATTTATAAAAGAAATTTATAAAAAAGAAAAAAAAAGAAAGAAAGAAAGAAAGAAAGAAAAAATAAAAAAAAAAAATGAAAAAGGGTCAATTCATAAGGAAATACGAAAATAAAAAGAAATTTATAAAGGAATTTCATAACGACAAAATTTATAAAGAAAAAGAAATTCACAAAGAAAAAATTCATAAAGAAATTTATAAAGAAAGAAAGAAAGAAAAAAGAAAGAAAGAAAGAAAAAAGAAAATAGAAATAAAAAAATGATAAAAAAGGGTCAAGTGTCACAAGGAAATACGAAAATAAAAAAAAAGAAAAACAGAAATTTATAAAGAAAGAAAGAAAGAAAAGATAAAGAAAAAAAAAGAAATTAGAAATAAAAAAAAAAAAAATGGGTCAAGTGTCACAAGGAAATACGAAAATAAAAAAGAAATTTAAAAAGAATTTCATAAAAGAAATTTATAAAAAAGAAAGAAATTCAAAAGAAAGAAAAATGAAAAGAAAAAGAAAGAAAGAAAGAAAAAAGAAAGAAAAAAAAAGAAAGAAAAAGATAGATAGAAAAAAAAAAAAGATAAATGGGTCAAGTGTCAAATACGAAAATAAAAAGAAATTTATAAAGAATTTCATTAACGACAAAATTTAAAAGAAAGAAAGAAATTATAAAAAAGAAATTCATAAAGAAATTCATAAAAAGAAAGAAAGAAAGAAAGAAAGAAAAAAGAAAGAAAAAGAAAGAAAGAAAGAAAGAAAGATAGAAATAAAAAAAAGATAAATGGGTCAAGTGTCACAAGGAAATACGAAAATAAAAAGAAATTTATAAAGAATTTCATAACGACAGAAATTTATAAAGAAAGAAAGAAATTCACAAAGAAAGAAAGAAATTCATAAAGAAATTTATAAAGAAAGAAAGAAAGAAAGAAAGATAGAAAGAAAAAAATGATAAAAGGGTCAAGTGTCACAAGGAAATACGAAAATAAAAAGAAATTTATAAAGAATTTCATAAATAACGACAAAGGTTTAAAGAAATTTATAAAGAAAAAAAAAAAAAGAAAAAGAAAAGAAAAAGAAAGAAATAAAAGAAAGATTAAAAAAGATAAATGACAAGAAGTCAAAGGAAATACAAAAATAAAAAAAGAAATTTATAAAAAAAACAGAAATTTATAAAAAAAGAAAAAATTCACAAAAAAATAAAAAAAAATTTATAAAAAAAGAAAGAAAGGAAAGAAAAAAAAAAAGTGTCAGAAAGAAATACGAAAAATAAAAAAATGATAAAAGGGTCAAGTGTTTATAAAAGAATTTCATAACGAATTTCATAACGAAATTTATAAAGAAAGAAATTCAAAAGAAATTCATAAAAAAAAAGAAAAAAAAAGAAAGAAAGAAAAAGAAAGAAAGATAGAAAGAAAAAAAAGATAAATGGGTCAAGAAAGAAATAAAAAAATAAAAAGAAATTTATAAAGAACAGAAATTTAAAAAAGAAAGAAATTCAAAAAAAAAAGAAATTCATAAAAGAAAGAAAGAAAGAAAGAAAGATAGAAAGAAAAAAAAATGATAAAAGGGTCAAGTGTCACAAGGAAATACGAAAATAAAAAGAAATTTATAAAGAATTTCATAACGACAGAAATTTATAAAGAAAGAAAGAAATTCACAAAGAAAGAAAGAAATTCATAAAGAAATTTATAAAGAAAGAAAGAAAGAAAGAAAAAAGAAAGAAAGAAAGAAAGAAAGAAATATAGATAGAAATAAAAAAATGATAAAAGGGTCAAGTGTCACAAGGAAATACGAAAATAAAAAGAAATTTATAAAGAATTTCATAACGAAAGAAATTTATAAAGAAAAGAAAAAAATTCAAAAAAATTCATAAAGAAAAAGAAAGAAAAAAAAAAAAGAAAAAAAAAAGAAAGAAAAGAAAAAGAAAGATAGAAATAAAAAAAAGATAAATGGGTCAAGTGTCAAAAATACGAAAATAAAAAAAATTATAAAAATTTCGAAAATTTATAAAGAAAGAAAAAGAAATAAAAGAAATTTAAAGATAAAAAGAAAAGAAAGAAATAAAGACAAAGAAATTTATAAAGAAAGAAAGAAAGATGAAATAAAAAACAAAAAATTAAAAAAGATATTTAAAAGAAAGAAAATTCATAAAGAAAGAAAGAAAAAAAAGAAAAAAGAAAAAGAAAGAAAGAAAGATAGATCATAAAAAAGATAAATGGGTCAAGTGTCACAAGGAAATACGAAAATAAAAAGAAATTTAAAAAAGAAAGAAAAGAAAAGAAATTCATAAAAAATTCATAAAGAAAAAAAGAAAAAAGAAAGAAAAAAAAAAGAAAGAAAGAAAGAAAAAGATAAAAAAAAAAAAAAAAGATAAATGGTCAAGTCAAAAAAAAATCACAAGGAAATACGAAAATAAAAAGAAATTTATAAAGAATTTCATAACGACAGAAATTTATAAAAAAGAAAGAAATTCACAAAAAAAGAAAAGAAATTCATAAAGAAATTTATAAAGAAAAAGAAAGAAAAAAAAAAAGAAATAAAAAAGAAATTTATAAAATAAAAAAAATGAAAAAAAGGAAATACGAAAATAAAAAGAAAAAAGAAAGAAATTTAAAAGAAAGAAAGAAAGAAAGAAATTCATAAAGAAATTCATAAAGAAAGAAAGAAAGAAAAAAAGAAAGAAAGAAAGAAAAAAGGAAATAAAAAAAAAATACAAGTGTCACAAGGAAATACGAAAATAAAAAGAAATTTATAAAGAATTTCATAACGAAAGAAATTTATAAAGAAAGAAAGAAATTCACAAAGAAAGAAAGAAATTCATAAAGAAAGAAAGAAAGAAAAAAGAAAGAAAGAAAAAAAAAAAAAAAGAAAAAAAGAAAGAAAGAAATATAGATAAAAAAAAAATGATAAATGGGTCCAAGTGTCACAAGGAAATACGAAAATAAAAAAAGAAATTTATAAAGAATTTCATAAAGAAAGAAATTTATAAAGAAAAATTCAAAAAAATTCATAAAGAAAGAAAGAAATTCATAAAGAAAGAAAGAAAGAAAGAAAGAAAGAAAAAAAAAATAAAAAAGATAAATGGGTCAAGTGTCACAAGATATACGAAAATAAAAAAAAGAAAAAAAGAATTTCATAACGACAGAAATAAAAGAAAGAAAAAATTCACAAAGAAATAAAGAAATTCAAAAAGAAATTTATAAAGAAAGAAAGAAATAACGAAAGAAAAAATGATAAAAGGGTCAAGAAAAAAAATACGAAAAAAAAGAAATTTATAAAAATTTCATAAAGAAAAATTTATAAAGAAAGAAAGAAAAGAAAGAAAAAAAATTCATAAAGAAATTTATAAAGAAAGAAAGAAAGAAAAAAAAAAAAAGAAAAAAAAAGGTCCAAAAATGATAAAAGGGTCAATACACAAGAAAATAAAAAGAAATTTATAAAGAATTTCATAACGAAAGAAATTTATAAAGAAAGAAAGAAATTCATAAAGAAATTCATAAAGAAATTCATAAAGAAAGAAAGAAAGAAAAAAAGAAAGAAAGAAAGAAAGAAAGAAAAAAAAAAAAAAAGATAAATGGGTCAAGTGTCACAAGGAAATACGAAAATAAAAAGAAATTTATAAAGAATTTCATACGACAGAAATTTATAAAGAAAGAAAGAAATTCACAAAGAAAGAAAGAAATTCATAAAGATATTTATAAAGAAAGAAAGAAAGAAAGAAAGAAAAAAGAAAGAAAGAAAGAAAGAAAGATAGAAATAAAAAAATGATAAAATTTATAAAGAAAGAAAGATATTCACAAAGAAAGAAAGAAATTCATAAAGAAATTCATAAAGAAAGAAAGAAAAAAAGAAAGAAAGAAAGAAAGAAGGGTAAAGGTCGAATTGGTTGCTAACTATAAAAAAAGGAAAAAGAATGAAATGGAAAACACTTGAACTCAACATGATGAGCTGAATAAAAAAAACCTAAAAAAAAGTGTAATGCAAATTCCAACCCGGATTTAAAAAAAAAAATCAAATATGCCTAAGATTTTATTCTAAAAATGAAAACGAAAGGGAAAGAACGGTGAGTGTTATTTTTTTTTTTAATAAGCATCTACAACGAATCTTAACCTAACACCTTGAGCAAGAGATTCAATCATCGAATTATCTTTCATCTATTCAAGCCCATGTTGCACAGTACAAGTCCCTCATCCGCCTCGGGGGACAGAACATATCTAATCCTGCCTTCATCGTAGTGAACATCCACAGTTGTTCTGGCAGGACTGCAATTTTCGTGCACAAGTACCCAGGCACAAAATAAGGTGCGAATAACTTACATTTTTTCATTCGCAAAAGGGTGATTGTATCTACTAAGAAATCATTCTCAAGCCCTTCAACAAGAGCTTCATGAAAACAACTGAAAAAATATATATGAAGAACTAACATATAAATCTATATATCAAATTTATAATGGGTAAGAGAATGAAAAAAAAACTCTTATGTATCCGAAACATAAAATAATTTCTAGGGAATCAATGGAGTTTTTATATACGACTAGCAGTAGAGCCCGGGGATGTAACAGTAAGAGATAGATCAAGTATCGACCATCATAAAGACTGAAAAATAAAACTGACAAAGATTATTGTTTAAGGTTGACGGAACGCATGTCTTAATTATTTTTTTTTTTTTTTTTAGTTTTTTTTACGAATTGGTCAAACCCAAACTCAAACAAAAACATTGTTTTCAATCGTTATGAGTCTACCGATTGAATAGAATTTTATTATAAACAATTGTCTTGTAAATGGAATTTTTTTAATTATTTTGAATGTAAAATAAAGGAAAAAAGTGTGCAAGAAAATAAGAAACACTACCTGCCAAAAAAAAGTGAAGTTTTGTTGAAATTGGTTGAAAAATGTAGGAAATCCGATCCCATATTTTAACGAACACACACACACACACACAAACAACCTGGGTTTTATAATAAATATAACTCGATATGAGTTGTCCCCCTTTCATTTTCGCGATGTCTCTTAATCGTGTTTTCAAATTGATTTCGTGCAAAAACAATTGTTTTTTCAATTTTTGGCTCTGTCAGAACCACCGCAAGGTAATTTTACGTAGTCTTGTGAAGTTTTGTTGAAACCGGTTGAAAAATGTAGGAAATCCGATCCAATATATAATGGATGAGGACACATAGCATAGCGGATAAAGGTGTCAGTTAGATCATGTGACAGGACCCACAGAGTGTGAGTTCAATACATGGTTAAGGCGGTGGAGAAATTGGAAAGGGGAATTAACAGGAGATAACTGATAACTGACATCCATTAGACATGGCGCGTGAAGCTAGAACAGTCTAACCCGGTGAGCGAAATAAAGGGTTCAGTTCGGCATTCCAACCACCTGAAGAAGGCCGGAGCATACAAACGCTGAAACGTTGTGATAAATATGGCAAGAAAGATGTGGATGTTAGTCCGAGCAATGTAAATAGAGTAGCGAACTTGCCTTTTAAAAGAATAAAATATAACGGGTTAAAGTGAAATTTGTTAGATGGAACATTTGGGAAGCCATCGATTGTTGTTCGTGCATGAAGTCATAAAGTCACCGTGACTGAGGGTTTTAGCGTGCTGCTCTTGTTCGAAAGATTGCTCTCTCTCTCAGAAACTGTAACGAAGGTCCATTCAGATTGGTGTTAGTATTACCACAGGTAAACTTTGTGTGTTGAGTAGACGTCTGTTTATAATAAACAGTATTAGCTACATTTACCGGCACAAATATCCGAGAAATATCGTAGAAAATATGTCCTCCGACAGGAATCGAACCTTTATCCTACACATATTTCTACGGTATATCGCAGACACTGAAGCCGGTAAAGTTAACTGTTTATTATAAACATAGCATTTACTTAAATACTTGTATGAACAAAAATAGCTTATAAACAGAATATATATATATATATATATATATATATATATATATATATATATATATATATATATATATATTTGTATTTATAACAATAACGCATAAATAGAAAATATATAATAAATTGTCGGACTTAGTCCATTTCATTATATATATATATATATATATATATATATATATATATATATATAAATATATATATATTGGTAAACAGACTGAGGTGTATAGACTTGGATGGCAACTGTTGACAATGATATCTATCTATCTATCTATCTATATATATATATATATATATATATATATATACATTCATGCTTCCTAGATTGTCTTAACCAAAGTTTATTATTCGCTTCCAGTATGAAAATAACATTATTTAGTCAAAGTTCTTTCGACTTATGAAACACGTACCATAAGGATTTTCCATTTTTGCCACACACATATATTGTGTGTGTGTGTGTGTGTGTGTGTGTGTGTGTGTGTGTGTGTGTGTGTGTGTGTGTATGCGTGTGTGGGGGTATGTGTGTGGGTGTGGGGGTGTTGTGGGTGGATAAGGACATATGTATGCACATATTTATATCTTGCGTATTGATATGTGACCAAATATTTACCCAGCCATTTTAGTGAAAGATACGTATAAATATTGGCTGCTGTCAAATGTGATCAAACCTTATACGCTTATATAATTTTATTTAAAAGCAAAAGCCCCTCTCTCTCTCTCTCTCTCTCTCTCCCTGAGAAAGAGAGAGAGAGAGAGAGAAACATGCACTAATTGATAAATACATTATCAACGATTATGCACATTTTTATCTTCTCGGAACACTCACGAAAACACTACACACACAACCGCAAAAAAAAGAGAAAATTTTACGCGCCTCCAACCAATTTCACCCAATTGCGCCTGCGTGGTTTCAGGCAGACGTATCGTTCGGACTGTAATTGAATTTGCGTCGAAAGTGGCGAAGAGAGTGATAGTGGGCAGGCTTTAAACGAACATATGTCGTTGTACTTGTGGGCGAAAAGAAAGAGACGGGATGGCTGAGAATGTCGTGCAAGTACATTATAAAATTGAATTATAAGCACATCTATTGAGCTGAGAACTCGGCAACATTCACTTTGAAAGAGGCAGTTTTTGCGAAGAGCAAATAGACTTGAGCATGTCCTATGTTGATATTAACTTGTGAGATTGTCACATCTTGGGAAATTTCAACAACAATATTTTATTTTCTTGTTTTAATCTTATTTTTATTTAATTTTTATTTAATTTTTTTACATTCACACATTTTCCATTAATTGTATTCTAATTTCAATTTTCTCCTTGCTTACAAGTTCGCAAAGGATGATAACTGGCCAGAAATAAGAGTAAGAGTCACAAAACTTGAAAGAACAGCTTATTATTTAGTTATTTTGTTTCTAGGAAAGTTTTGGGGTTTATGTTTAGTTTTTTTTCTTTCTTTTGATTTTAATAGTAGTAGTTAGGTTCTAACGTCTCCGTCTAACCAGTGAATTTTTTTACTATTTTTATGTATTTATTTTATTTCATTCTATTTTTTTTCACATATGTTGGCTTATCGTCCGGTTCATACTTTTTCTGGTCTTTTGTACAGGAGTAAAGTTCTATCCCTTGTTTCCTGTTTACGATTGAGTTTCCGGTTCCTTCTAAAGTCTACTTCGGCTCTATACTTCTAACGTCCCTGCCTAAACTCTAAAATTTTAATTCCTATTTATTTTTCTTCGCTAGGAGTATTTAGATTCCCCAATCTTTCGTTTCACACACCTCCCCGGTCTTTTGAACAGGAGTAGAGGTTCTTTACTGTTTAAGATTGAGTTTCCGGTTCCATCTAAAGTCTATTTCAAACTTTTTCACTCCCAGTAGTACCTTGGGTCTTAGACGTATTATCGCCTTCCTTGGGGTGAATGGATAAAAAAGTATGAAAAAATAATGTTGTTAATAATCTTGAATCGGATTGGTGATTTAACTGAACTTGCTGGTATCTTTGAAATTCTTCAGTTACTCAGTCAGCCAAATGGTAGATTCCTCTACTCTTTTTCTTAGTAATTCTGACTGACACACTACTTAATCGTTCCTTATATGGTCCCATCGCTACACAGGAATTACCATGTTTCAAAAACAGAAACTAAAAACTCTAAATTTAATTTTAGAATTAAATTAAAATCCTTAGTAGTTTCATTTTCAAGCAATGTTTGAGATTTTTCCAAAAGTCACTTGAAAATGAAACATACAAAATGGGACCATATTTTTACATTAGTAAATATATATATATATATATATATATATATATATATATATATATATATCATTCATACAAAAAAAAAAAAATATAGAGGTTAATGATTTAAATGGCGAAAATACATCTTCGCAAACAATATAAATAAGATACACCGACTCCAAACCTATATATGAACGATACGATCCCTGTTTATAAATTCCAGTTGCATAAGGTTTTTTAATTTTTTACCAGCTTTCGTCTGTTCCTACAGACATCCTCGGGTATGGAAATAGATTTTGTTCTTGTTTTTACTTTGGTTTGGGGTTGGTGTATCTTATTTATATTGTAATTCGGGTAATATTATATGTGTAAAGATATAGATAACGTAATTAAATACTGAGATAGTCTTCGAACGCAGGCATAAGTGGATGCACGGGTGGACATGAGGATAGGGACAAATACGTGGGTAGATATATGTAAGTGCAAATTAACGCATATGTGGGTATGTAGATATTCTGCATATTGCGTATGCATATGCATATGTGTGTGTATGTATATGTATGTATGTATGCATATATGGGTGTGTGTATGTATGTGTATATGTGTATACGTATGGATGTGTAAATATATATATGTGCGTATGAGTATATATGGATATGCAGATGTCCTTGTGTGTATATGTATATATGTAAGTATAAGTATATATGGAGATAGGTACGGAGATATGTAGGTGCGTGTTTTCTCTGCAGGTGTATATGTGTAAAGATGGAAATATACATATATCGTTTCGTGTGAATGTGTGTGTAGGTGTATATAGGAACTCATAGGCATATAAGAAGATATAGGTATGTGGTTACAAATAGGGGTTTTAAGACATGTGTAGATAAGAAATTGTAAAAGAAGGGCCTAATTTTCTGCTAGTGACATCTCTTCCAAATTTCTCCTCTAATATTCTCCAATTGGAAGTGAATTTTAAATAGCACGAAGGGAAAATTTAGATTGGTATTTTATTTGAGATTGAAAGATACTACTCCAGTGTGGAGAATAAAATTATTTAAATGGGAATAACTGTTGATAATTGGGTACATAAAAACAACCACGAGGTTACTTAATGAACAAAAATCAAAAACAATCACGAGTTTACTTAATGAAAAAAAATCAAACGAATAAATGTCAACCTAACAAGCTATAAGATAAAAGTTTTAGTGGAAAAAAGAAAAAATTACTAAATATAAAATGGATTGCTCTTTCAATGTTCTGTCTATGGATTTTTCCAATCGATTGTTTCATAGAAAATACCCAAAACTCCACCGAATTTCAAATTAATTTCTTCGTAGATTGTTTTAACATTCAGATATTTATCAAACCTTAACCTCCCAAATATGCACGTTAAAGTAACGCGAACTGACAGCGTCTAAGAATTTGAATGAAACCTGTCGTCTAATTTATTGGGGTTGTTGTAACGTCTTCCTTTAATGTAGTTCTTATCGTTCACCTCTTAGCCACCTTTATCTAGAGACGAGACGCGTTATATTTGAGCAACATCCAGCCGACACACTGGGGTTAAAATAGGAAACTAAAATGATACATATGACACACTCATATCCTCTCTCCCACCTCACTACCTCACTTCGTTAACTTTGCGAATACTTGATGAGGTCCGTAAAAAACGTGTGAATTTCTTTTCATTTTCATTTCAGCTTTTGGAAGTAAAGTTTGATGATCCAGAACCCTGTTAAAGGGGTTATGGTGAAATAACTTATTACATGGAATCTTAACGTGGTCTGTCTTTTATTCAAACAAATATATATATATATATATATATATATATATATATATATATATATCAAAGTATTTCTGGTATTAAAACCTATTTCTACACTTTCATAGAGTTTTGACCCCAGTTTAGGGGCTAAATGTTTACCCATAGTTGGGCCCTTAACAGGTGCTACCACCCTGGTCAGGGCGGACCTGGGAACACCAGCAATTAGGAGGTGGTTCCATGCCCCTCAAAACCTCCTGATCAGAGGCCTTGCTGTTGGACGTAGTTTATCGTCTTACACGGGACGCGGGTGTAGTTTATCGTAATACCCAGGACACGAGGATTTAGTCAATTTCATTATATATATATATATATATATATATATATATATATATATAAAAAGTGAACATAGAAGTCAACACTTAGAGGCGACAGTCTGTTTCATGCTATATGCAATCGTCAGGTCGGTATTTAGTCACCCTCCCACTAGGGCGTCATGTGCACAAGGCCTTTTTTAACGTGGGAATCTCCGAGCCTTTGGGCTCGGCCAAAAAACTCACCAATGAACCCCGTATAAACGGGTTCAGGGTCAATTTACCTCCCGAAAGAGAAGGCCCTTCGGCGTAGCCTCGTTCGGGTTCCTCCCCGCCCGAAGGCAGAGAGTTCAACCGATCAGCCGGTCAGCCGGTCGCCCGACTTCGGACTGAACTCAATGCAATCGTCAGGCCACGTGTGCTGTTATTTTTCTCGGCTATTTATATATAAACGGGTCAGTGGTGCATTGTGGGTAGTCTATTATGGCGGTTATTTTACCGGAAGTCGTTTAATTATTTATTGGGGTTAAATTATTTTGCTTGTTTTTATTTATTTTCATTTTTTGTTTCTTACTTTATTTATTTATTTATTTATTTTAATCGGTGTTTTTATTAACGTAGTAAAAGTTTGTTTATATCACTTATTTAATAGTTTTTTTTTTGGTTTGAGAATTTAATTAAAGCTATTTGTTCGGTTTTGGGGTTGATTGTTCTAGTTTATTCTAACTAATATTTTGGCAGGAACAGTTTTTAATTTGTGTTTATTTGGATTGATTATCTTTATTTTTTTTTAACGGTAACTTTATCGGGATTGGTTTGTTTATTTATTTACTTGGATGAATTTAGCTCAATTTATTTTACTAGTATTTTTTCTCTTTTCGGTTTTCGATTTTTAAGTAATGTAGTATTTATTTATTTATTTATTTTTATTTTTATTTTATTTTTTATAACAGCACACGTGGCCTGACTATTGCATATAGCATGAAACAGACTGTCGCCTCTAAGTGTTGACTTCTATGTTCACTTTTATATTTACACACGCTCTAACTCTGATATTGAGCACTTTATCCCATAAATATAGCACACCTTAAGACTATATTTCTTCATATATATATATATATATATATATAAGAGCGATAAATCTGACATGTAAACCATTTTAGGTGTTTCTTATCGTTCTGATAATTCGGATTTATTATTATACTGTGATACCTATTATTGTTACTCTCTTTTTTGTTATTATTTGCATGCTAATGTAGATGCTTTTATCTATCTATCTATCTATCTATCTATCTATCTATATATATATATATATATATATATATATGTGCGTGTGTGTGTGCGTGCGTGTCTGAATGTAAGTGTGTGTGTCTGTGTGTATGAATGTGTGTGTGTGTGTGTGTGTGTGTGTGTGTGGGACGAAAGAATGGAATACAAAACCATGAAAGAATTGAGAAAAACCAAAAAGTCCACGCTTAAAAGAATGTAATAAAAATAGCGACGGAAAAATGCTAATAAAATCAATCGAAAAGACTGTTGATTACTCGCATAAAAGAAAGAAAGAAAGAAAGAAAGAAAGAAAGAAAAATAGAGAAAGAAAAATAAAGAAAGAAAGAAAGAAAGATAGAAAGAAAAAAAAAGAAAGAAAGAAAGAAAGAAAGAAAGAAAGAAAGAACGTCATGTAAAACAGAGAAAAAAAGAAATAGCTAGCAGGAATTAAGAATGAAATTTAACTGAAAATGAATCATACAGATATCGACAAAATAAAGAAATAATTAGAAGATGGATAGGAAACAAATGAAAGTTTAAGTGATTTGTTTCTTTCGGCTTACCATCCTTTTCAAGGTTATTTAAAGTCAGCCAATACTTTTAGCTTGTAAGAATTTTGGGGAAATAATAATTTACTAATACAAGTCTTGCTAACTAACCCATAATTTGGGGGAGAAGCGGTGGATTCTTAACTTACCCAATGATATTTGAATGTAGAACCCATGTAGGACTGAAACCCGGCACTCCGATTTCAAATTCCGAGTTGTTATCCATTACCCAAATCGCATATCCATGTTTACAGCAACTGGTATTTCCAAACGGTGATTCATCCAGCTCTGAGGTCGGCAACCACCGGCCTCTGAACCACATCCGGTACGGAAGGGTCTTTGTCCGGTCCACCAGGTATTAAGAAATTTGCATTTTTTATTGATTGTGTTAATTATTATATTGTTATTCCAGCAGTAAAACGAGGAACCTTGCTTTTCTTTAAACCTCCAGATCAAGGTATCCTTCTGAATGTGGTCGTGACAATTTATTATAGTACATTTGATATCATGGCCTTCATTCGAGACATAGCTGACTGCCCCGCTGTCTCCAAAAGGTTGCCGACACGTGATCTAGGTATTGACCAGTCTTGATGTTGCTTAACTTCGGTGGTTGTACTAGAACCGATATTTCCAAGTGATATTGCCGTCAGAAAGTCGGGAAAGACAGGAAGGGAAAGAAAGAAATAGCTTGCAGGAACATGAATGAAATTCAACTGAAAATGAATGATATATAAGTATCGGCAAAAGAAGAAAAAAATTGGAAGATAGGAATGAAAGAAATGAATGAGGGATAAATAAAAGAAAAGGAAGACAGTAAAAGAAAAGAAAAAAGAATAAAGAAAAGAAAAAAGAATAAAGAAAAAAGACATTAGAAAAGAAAGGGGAAGCGTAAAAAGAAAAGTAAAGAAAAGAAAAAAGAAAAGAAATAAAGAGAAAAGAAATTAAGAAAAGAAAAGAAAGGTGATGTGGGAAAAGACAAAAGAAATTTAGAAAAGAAAAGAAGTGGGTGGAAGAAAAAAAAGGAAATAAAGAAAAGAAACAAAAAAATTAATAAAAGAAAAAAAAGAAAGGGCTGGTGGAAAAAGAAAAAGAAAAAAGAAAAAAATATTTAGAAAAGTAAAGAAAAAAAGAAAAAAAATGAAAAAAGAAATTTCGAAAAGAAAACAAAAAGGCGGCGAAGGAAGAAAAGAATAGAAAAAGAAAAGAAAAAAGATAAAAAAAAAAAAAAAACGAAAAGAAAAAAAAAAGAAAAAATATTAAGAAAAGAAACGAAAAGAAAGAAGAGGCGGAAAAAGAAAAAGAGAAGAATTGGAAAGACATAAATGAGAAAAGAAGACAACAGTATTAGAAAAAAAAAACTGATGACTAGGAATATCGAGATTAACCATAAAAATCATTTTAAAAAAATGTTAAAAAAGATGTGAGTAAAGACATGAAGATGACGATCAATCGGCCACGTGTGGTGAGGGTAGGGAGAAGAAAATTTCAAAAGCAAGAGAATAATCGAAGAAAGGAAAAATAATGCGAAGACTGGCTATAAAAATAAGTAAGAAGATTTTTAAAATATAAAAATAGAAAGTGGTAAGCATTTTGTTTCTTATGTCAAATGACCATGATCTGTACTGATATGTACTGAACATTTGAGCCATGGGCAATATTCTATCATAAAGAGATTATATCACAGTTGAAAGTTGCTCCGGGCAAATAAGGAAAATTCGTATTTTGAGAGAGTCACACAAATAAGCAACTACAAAGAGAGCTTCATCTCAGGCTCAAAGTAAACTTTCATTCACAATTCACATAACGTGGATCTGTGTGTGTATGTGTGTGTGTGTGTGTGTGCATGTAAAAATAAATTCCTCATTTTAATCTGAATACTGACACTCATACTTACGAGCAGATATAAAACCTCATAAATAAAATATTGTTAAAAAATCCAACCATTTGGTATGTGAAAACATTGATCGTAATTGTTTACTCTTCATTCAAAGTGAAAAAATAATAATAATAAAATATGACTTCTACTGCAAACCTAAGTAATATACGGAATATAGAGTTGATTTTAGAATTTGCTTATAACGTTTATTATTCATCACACTAAAGTATTGAGGAATATATTAGAAATATTAGAAATTGTGGAAAAGTGATGTTAAATCAATCCAAAATTGACTGAAACAGACCCATTAAACACACATACATCTGAAACGAAGGTCAGGTAGAACTTCTTGTTTAATGACAACCCGTTCTTTAAGTGAAGAGTGGCTGGATGTATTAAAAATATAAAATGCGATAGGCAATTATAACTGCAAGAAGCTAAAAACATAGATTCTGATAATATATATATATATATATATATATATATATATATATATATATATATATATATATATATATATATATATATATATATATATATAATAAAAATAGAATAATAATGAAAACAGAATTCTGATACATATATAAATTTACCAATATTTCTGAGATGAGGCATTATTCAAACTATTTAAATTATTCGGACTTTTGTGCTCATTTTTGTTGCCATATTTATCACGTTTCAGCTCCTTCAGGTGGTTGAAATGGCGAACAGAACCTTTTGTTTGATGTCTTCTACGTCAGTTAATTCACCTCTCCAAGTTCTCGACTGCCTTAACCAGGTATTGAACACACAACCTATAGAGTCCTGTCGCTGGAACTACGCCTTTATTCACTGTGCCATGTTTCCTTAAGAACATCTGCGTATGAATTTCTGAGACTTCTAAACTTAACGTTGCAGTAAATATGGCAAAAAAGATGTGGGCAATAGTCCGAATAATGTAAATAGTATATATAAATTTATACATATTGTCTTTTCCTACAGGTTAATTGTCAGAAATTGCATATATATATATATATAAGCAAATATATGGATATTGATCCGACAGTATGAAGAAAAATATACTGAAAAAACAAACGAAAATCCTAATATTCGATTATGCTGTTTTAATGTTTAATGTCAATATCGGACGTTTCGGTCTAATAGACCATCTTCAGGACATATTCATAAAACATTATTAACATAGACCATATATAATTCAACATGAAAAAGACGATGGACATAAAAGCAATACCAATCCAAACAGATAACTGAAAAGCATATAGAGAAATAGTGTAGTGAATAATATAGATATAGAGCATAGTGTAGAAAGAGTGATCCGTATTGTAATAGAGGATAGAATAGAAATAATAACCCGAATATTAGTAGAGTATAGAGCAGGTATAGTTATCAGTTAGACGCTACGATAATTCCCATGTATATATATTTCCTTTGCCATTGTGATCTACTAATTCAATATGGGATCGCCTGTATTTGCTCTCTGGCGATCTATGTTAAAACTACAGTGTCGGCAGCGACAATTTATTCCTATATAACACTTTTCGGTGCCCAACGTCATGCTACCTGAATTATTTTTAATCGCCCTTTTGATTTTGTTGGCGTGTTCTCGGTTTTCCAGGTCAAAATTTCAACTTCTGTAGTTCTTGAGAACAGTACCCCCAATATAGGGTACTATGCCCATAAACGGCGCATACCTATTGGCTGTTTGTACAGAAATAAAAGAAAATCAAATGAAAAAGCATCTCATTTTCTCTATACTGATCACTATACGAATTCTCTATACTATTCACTACACTATTTCTCTATACTGATCACTATACGGATTCTCTACACTAGTCACTACACTATTTCTCTATACTGATCAATATACGGATTCTCTAAACTATTCACTACACTATTTCTCTATACTGATCAATATACGGATTCTCTACACTATTCACTATACTATTTCTCTATACTGATCACTATACGGATTACTATTCTGTGGTTACTTTTGATCGTGTATTATCGAGCTAGTATCTTTAGTGCGAGTGTTCGTTGACATCCCCACAGAAAAAGAGATAATTCTCATATTATAGCGTTGTAAGGCATTTGTAAACATTTGAATATGTAAACTACTACAACGATTTCATCGCAATTCTCTACTCAAATGCAAGTACGGGGTTCCCAGTAAAAAAAAAAAAAAAAAAAAGCGGTAAATTCAGAAAGACCGTTAAAAACTAGCGACGACTGATGTGATTGAAAAATCCAGGAAGAATTTCTGCACACTTCATCAATCCCCATGTCGGATGTTCTTCTTTGAAAAGTACGATAACTTGACGCTCAAAATCAATGAGTTGTTTCGCCATACGAGAAGGGCAGAAAGACGAATGTTGTCTGCTAAAATCCTTTAAATAGCAAGCCACAATATCAAGCAGCAATTAATCAATCATGAAAGAACCAATCAGAGTTAATTACGCGAAAATCGAATCCTTATTCAAGATAATTAATATTCAAGAATTTTATTCAAGGTTATTCAAGGTCAATTATTGCTGAAAGATAAAATAGTGATAATAAATTTTCCGTTTTTACTGGGTACCCTTTATGTTGATCTATTTTGTCACGAGAACGATAAGGGTCAATGAAAAGTGGATTCTTTACAACAATTTTGAGCGGTAAAGGACTTTGGAAGAGAAAAAGCCGCAGTGCATCCGAAGAAAGTAATGCTGGTGTGGTTGGAAGTGTATTTTGTATTACAGACTCATGCGCAAATTCAGATTTGGAATTCAGACAAATCCTGTTTCCGTTGGACCGATTAAACCAGTAATCGATGAAAATCGTCCGGAGTCATCCAGTCAGAGTGGTGCCGTCTTCTATCAGGACAAGACCAAATACCACGTCTCTTCCGGCAGAAATTGATACATTTTGGCTAGGATGTACTACCCGTGATCATCCAACCTTGCAAATTCGGATTATCACATTTCGATCCCTATAAAATTATGCTAATGTGAAGAACATCAAATTCCGGGAAGCCTGCAAAAACTATTTAGACCAATTCATCACTCAGAAAACCACCAAATTCCAGGTGGATAGAAACGTAAAGCATCCCCAAGGATGGCGAAATATAGATAAATAAAATTGCATAATTTGGGGTGTATACACCTATATACAAATATCTAAACAGTATCTTTGAAATTCACTTAAAACTTTAAGACAAAATAAGTACTAATATTTTAATCATGGTGGCCGTAATCGTAAAATAAGACCGAAGTTGATATTTGCCGTCCTATGTTTTCTTACTGTGCGTGAAAGTCGAATTTTAGGTCTTTTAGAAATGAAAGTAGGTCCAAAACAATTCAATCTGTACACGCGCGTAGAAAAGATACAATTGTTGAAGTATGAAAATATTGTTTGAATTATTTTTATATCGAATGGATAGTGCTATTAAGAGAGAAAAGCAAACAGAAAGAAAGGAAGAAAGAAATGAACGAAGCCAGGAAAGGGAGGAGTTAGGAATCAAAGAAAGAAAGAAATGAAAGGAAGAAAGAAGAATGAGAAAAAGGAAGAAATGAAGAAAGGAATGAAGATTGAAAAAAAAAAGAAGGAAAGAAAAATAGCAAGGTATAAAATAAAAATGAAAAGAAGTAGGCAAGAAAAAAAAAAACAGAAAAAGAAACGAACGAAAGACAAAAAAAAAGACGAAATGAAGGTGGAAGGAAATAGATAAGCAAAGGTAAGAGACGTCGAAAGTCTATCATTTCTTACGAAGTTTTTATTTGAAGAGTCGACCGGAAAGATATTTTGCGAGGGACGTTTATTGGTTCTTGAAAAATCGTCAGAACATACATAGAGGTATAACTGAGAAAAAAGCTATGAGCGAAAAAAACTCCTACTCTGTGGGTGAAAGCATTAAACACTCCGTCCATAAAACACTGCGAAGATGATTTCTTGCTGAATTAAGTGTTTTGTGTTCGAATGGTTGTATTGTACTTTTAAATGAACTATACGCAGACTTCT